CAAGTATTATATATCATTCGAAAGCTTATTGAATATACTTTATTATGCATTGCTTAGTTTTTGAAAGTTTTTAATTTTTAAATGGTAATAAAGCATGTTGCCATTACTTTTGGAACACCCTTAGTAATATTTATTTCCTGTGCGCTTGATGCTCTTTCTTGAGATTGTTATCAAGTTCTTCAACAATTATTTGTGGTGTCTTTAGCTCGTCGTAGCCTGTTGCTATTGAAACCTTTTCTCCTGTTCTGACAATGCTCTATTAGATAGATTAGCAACGTCCATAATACAGATAAAATTGTCAAACTTCGCTAATATCAGTAGCAATAGCAGGCACTCTATGCTCATGACTGTCATAAACAAATGCTAAAGCGTTTCTAAATGCCGGTATATTTGTTATTTTAACACTAAGGAAATCCTCTACGATAAGGTGGCAAAACTTTTGTATCATTGGAACAAACATCTACGTTTGAATCAAAGAAATCGATAAAATTAACCAAATCGTCTTCCATAACGTTAAGTTTATGTTTGAATCAATCGGTACTGTTAATGGAAAATTTTTATCTGGATTATCTTTTGCTGTAAATGTATGATCAGCAAAGCTAATATTTAGTTCGAGTTTTTCCTCAAATCAACACCAACAATTAGAAACTGCTGCAGATCATGTATGACTAAAATTTTATGTTTTACTGTCGATCCGGCTACCGTTATTTCTGTTGTGATAGTGCCGACTGGATAAGATTTTGTTCTAGTAGCCATTTTTAGATAGCGTCCGCACTAATATTTGAGTGGCCTACGTTGATCTACACGTAGATACGAGCCATACTCATGAGAATCATGGGCGATCCACTATCAATCGTAACAGTTTCACATATCGTCTCTTCGGTTAGTGGTACATGACACTTTGTTGTTCTTCTTGTTTAGACGATCAGAAACTTCTGTTTCTGATGGCTTAATTAACACTTCAGAAACTCCTGCCCCGTGTGCTCTTTAAACGACTCGATTGTTGTCGTTGTTGAAACGATGATCGTCGATTACGTCTACTATTTGTCGAATGAATTTTTTAAGATTGGCCACTGGAACTCCTAATTCATCATTGTTTACTTTTCAATACTCGTCCACATGTGCACTGACCAACCAAAATCTTTTTAAACACGTATTCGTACAGAAAAAAGCGTTCTCCTCAAAATAAGACGTTGCTGAGCTCTGTATGATATCCCCATCAAAAGTCACAAGCATTTTCTAAGAACACTTAAAACTCTGTTTTTCTCCTTTTCTTTCATTCCTCTACATCGATTTTTGCCTTGTAGTACTGCGTAATTCCAAGATTTCTTCGCTACTCTAAGTTTTAAGAATCTCAGGTTGGTCTTGAAATGTAGCCAACACTATTTTCCAGGCGTAACAGAACCCGATTTTCGATCTTCGTTTTTGTCTCTGAGGAAAAACAAAGTTTCGGAGAAATAAAGAAAAATCTCGCTAACTTTTCGGAAACCTTTGACGAAACGAAGATCGAAAATCGGGTTCTGTTATGCCCTGGAAAATAGTGGCTGGTCAGTGCACATGCATGCTAAAGGAAGCTGATATAAATCCACATCTGACATCCGAACAAAAGAAAGAAAGAAACGAATTATTGAGACGAAATCGCCATGCATTTGCTCATGGTAATCGGATGTACTGATCTATATAAAATGAAGACTGAGAATGGAGATGTGCCTCCAATTCCCGAGAGACCGTACCATGCGTCACCTAGAGAGCGCCAATTGATCGAGAACGAGATAATCGAGTTAGAAGCCCAAGGTATCTTAGAAGATTCCCCTTCTCCTTGGTCGTCATCGGTGGTTCTCGTCACAAAAAAATGGTAGTACTCGGATGTCCATTGGTTACAGGAGATTAAATTCAATAACAAAATCCGATCAATATCCAATCCCCCGGATTGAAAATATTCTTACACATTTAGTGGAAAGAAGTGGTTTAGTACATTCGATGCCAGTAAAGGATTTCACCAAATACAACTCGATAGTCTATCTAATCGAGAGAAAACAGCTTTTAGAACACACATGGGTTTAAAACAGTACACAAGAATGCCTCTTGGGTTAAAAAATGGACCAGCCGTCTTTCAACGTGTGATGGATAGAACAATGAGTTTAACAAAAACCCATTTATTTTATCAAGAAGTCGAAGTTTTGGGATACGTAATATCACATCTGGGATTAGCTACATGTAAGCAAAAAAATTAAAGCCGTAGCTGAGTGGCCAACACCGACAAATCAAAAGCAAGTCGAACAATTCCATGGTTTCTGTATTTATTACAGACGATTTATTAAAGAATTTTCTATGATCTCGCGACCATTAACAAGATTTTTGAGTCAAAATAATCTATAGCGATGGGATACGGAAGAACAACAAGCGTTTGACGTCCTCAAAAATGCATTAACGACAGCAACCATTCTTGCTCAACCGGACTATACCCGACCATTTAAACTCTACACGGATGCTAGTAACGTAGGAATCGGAGCTATTCTGCAACAATGTCAAGAACCAGATAATGTTGAAAGAGTGATATGTTTTCTATCTAGACAACTGACATCAGCGGAGAAAAATTATAAAAATTATGGCATCACTGAACTGGAATGCCTAGCAGTAGTATGGTCCCTTACAAAGCTTCATTGTTTAGATGGTGTCCCGTTTGAATTAATCACTGATCACAGTGCTTCGCAAGCCATGTTTGATTTTAAAGGAAGCAACAAACGTCTCTTGAATTGGTCGTTAGATGTTCAGCCATACAGAGAATTCATGACCATCATACACCGTCCTGGAAGGAAACATACAAATATTGATCCTTTATCACGTAACCTCATTGAGTGTATAAACAATATATCAGTTGTTTCATTATCATCTGATTTGAAAAAAGAATTTATATCATCATATTCATTTGATCCATATTTTTCAAATATTACTGATATTTTACAGAACCCACAGTCACAACAATCCGATCACAATATCAGACAAAAATTAAAAAATTTTCTTATGCATGATCAACTCCTTTATTTCGTCGATCCAGGAACAAAAAATTTGTGGTTGTATGTACCTAATCGACCAGAGTTAAAATCAGTTATCTTCCATGATAGTCATGATGCCCCCGTCGCCGGTCATTTGGGGTACACTAAGACGTATTTTGATCAAACAATCGTTTTATTGGCCGAGAATGTCAAGAGAAGTAAAATCGTGTGTTTGATCATGTGATTCATGTCAACGTAACAAAAGTTCGAATCAACAAACGTCAGGATCTCTTCAGCCGTTGCCTATCCCTAAGTCAAGGTGGGAACAAGTGACTATGGACATGATTCTAGGTTTACCAAAAACAGCATCCGGTCATACTTTAATTATTGTTTTCGTCGATCGACTCACCAAACGGGTCTATTTTAGACCCACCATGGCTACGGTAACGGCAGCAGACACGGCTAAAATCTTCTTCAACACAATATTCGTCGACCATGGTTTACCTGATGTTCTCATCAGTGATCGTGATTCAAAATTTACAAGTAATTTTTGGAAATCAATCTTCACTTGGGACGAAAATCATCATCATTTTATTGATGATGTAAAACGTGATTGGCAAAAATAGCACTTCTGAAATCCACAGAAAATCCATCCAAATATTCACGTATCACTTTTAAAACTCTATCGTCAAACACCAGTTGAGTTCACAAATCCATATAAGATCCACCCGTCACAAACAGAAATAAAATTCCAGAGATCGGATTTTCAGAGGATCTTTGGAAAATCAGCTCCGTTCTCAGAAAACTAACACACAATGTTAGTAATTTTTTTGCATGCGTAGGTAGTTCGGACGTTACTCTACAAAATTATGCAAGTCCCGGCTCTCTAGCTGTCGTCGTTCGGGCAGAACTCGCTTTCCCCGAGCACGTGTCTATCTCCGAGCAGACATCTCTGGGAATCTCAAAATGCCATGGACTATAGGTAATCGACTACGCTGAGCATAGTGGCAATATTTGTTTTTGTGTAGAAATGAATATAACTTCGCCAGAGGCATTGTTGTGAAAAACCAGTTTTTCGCCTGTTACTAGCAAAAATTAAAATTCTTATATCTCATGAAACCACATGCTGACTCAAGGAAATTTTCAGAAAACGCTCAGGACCGCTCATAAAACATAATCGAAGATGAAAAGGTGAATGTGAGCTGGGCACTGGCTTAAGGTTTTCCAGAAACCTTCTGAAAAACCTCAGAGCATCAGTGTCCTGCTGGATCACTTTTTCGGCGTGGTCAACAACATATAGCACCTTTTAAGCCTTTCCTGAAATTTTTCTTGAGTCAACATCAGATTTCATCGAGATATAAGGATTTTAATTTTTTCTAGTAACAGGCGAAAAACTGGTTTTTCACAACAATGCCTCTGGCGAAGTTATATTCATTTCTACACAAAAGCAAATGTTGCCACTATGCTCAGCGTGGTCGATTACCTATAGTCCACGGCATTTTGAGATTCCCAGAGATGTCTGCTCGGAGATAGACACGTGCTCGGGCAAAGCGAGTCCTGCCCGAAGGACGACAGCTAGAGACGGGACTTGCATAATTTTGTAGAGTAACGTCCGAGCTATCTACGCATGCAAAAAAATTACTAACATTGTGTGTTAGTTTTCTGAGAACGGAGCTGGTTTTCCAAAGATCCTCTGTAAATCCGATCTCTGGAACTTTTTCAAAAGTCGCTTCCGCTTGTGAAAAGTTGTGCACAAGTCTTGGCTATTGAAAATCGCAGGTCTCTATCTCATTCCTATCAAAAGTTATTGAAAAAATGCCCACGGGTCTTGTATTTTGGGTCGGATAGTAGGAAAGTTTTAGGGAATGCATGAAAAAATGATATTTAAAAATAAAAGAGAAAGGTTCTTTTATTTTTTTTAATCTTCAACCATCGGTACTACTATATAAGCTTTCTGTTGAAGAATAAGGCATCTCGTGGAAAATAGCGGAAGTTTTGTATACTTTTGACGCAACGAATATCGTTGTTGAAACTTTTGCTGATCTGGGTGACTTTGATAATTATAATATGAATATGAATTTCAACTTACCTAGTATGTTAATTTCTTACATAAGTCCGTATGCTGTCGTTGTTATTTCATTCGGAAAACTGTTCTCTCTCTGATGCTTCAGATGTTGGTGACGGTCTTCTTGAATATGAAAATGGCTCGAATTCTTATCCTGGATCTGCTGCTGGTACTGAATATAGCTTCTGCGTTACACTTGATTGCTCTCAATACCGAATGTTTTTCATTTGTAGCTGGCGGTGATAGCTTTGACCACAGACATATTGCGGGGTTAAATGATGGTAAGTATTTTTAGGACACATATTTTCTTCGAAGATGAGATATGTTTTGTCTTTATAGTATGTGTTTTGAGTGGAATAAATGATAATATGGCGCTACCTATTTCAACTTCGATTGTCGATGTAAGCGATAATGATTTCATCATAACTCTTTCGATGTTCTAAAAAAGTCAATGAAGATTTCGTTTCACCGCACAGATATGCGTTTCGTGGTTACAAATATGTTTCTAAATGTTTTATTTATTACTCAATTGCGACTTTTTCGGATAGTAAGTACTATTGTCCATCCAAAAAAAGAATGGTATATGACTGTTTTTTGAATAACTTTCGATAGGAAAAAGCTAAAGAGCTTTAATTTTATACCATTCGAAAG